CCAGCACCCCCCACCCCCCACTGAACGTGATTGGCCCCCCGGTGCTCTCCCAACACCATTGGGCGAGAGCACTGTTAATCTGACAATGCCTAATGCCACTGGATCAGAGCGTTGTCCATCACTGCCTGATTCGCTCAACAGCACTGGATCAGAGCGCTATCATTGCTTTGGCGATGTAAAGCCTTTTTATCATGCCAGTAAAGCTACTGGAATCTGAATCTGTCAATCACTGACAGCGATGTGGAGTTTTTCAAACGACTTGACCACAGACCACATCTCTGTCCAGTTGAGAACCAGTGCAGTAAACTATATAACACACACACATACTGAGAGATGATCTGGGATCTACTCTCTCTCTCTCTCTCTCTCTCTTTGTGGAACATGAGCTGGTCGGATGACAAGTGGTGAGTCACAATGTGGGCTGAATAATCTTGATTTAAACACACTCATACACCCAGACTCCCACACACATGTATACACACACTGACCTGTGTTCTAAATGTGAGAGCTGTGTCTTATGTAAAGCTATCAGGAGATTGTGAAGCTGCAGCTTCAGGAATTTGCTTCATTCACTTCAGTTCAAACAGAAAGAGGTTAAACACAGTCAATACAGTCAGAAAAACACACCACAACATTGAACAACAGTGTTAATGCCGGATATGATAATGGCATGCACTATTACATAAAGGTTAAGTGTGTTATTTTCTTTGACATTACAATATTTCTCTTCTGGATCAGAGTGCTATCATTGCTTTGGCAATGTAAAGACTTTTTACCATGCCAATAAAAGCTACTGGAATCGGAATCTGTCAATCGCTGAGTTTTTTAAACGACTCGACCACAGACCACATCTCTGTTCATATGGTACGTAAACACTCAGTAATATATTTTGGAATATCACCCTAGTCAATATTTATTCAATATTTATATCTACTTTCATGTGACTGATCAAGTTATTATATGTAGCTAGTATGAGTAACAAAATGCGTTCCCTGTGTCCAGATTTGACCGCAATAATCAGTGTTGTGCAAGTTACTTCCAAATTGTAATACATTATAGATTACTTGTTCATATATATACAGTATATATATATATATATATAAATATATATATATATATATATACACACACATACAAATACATATACAGCTGAGCAATAACTGCCCCACCCCCAGTGATTTCGGCCACTGCCCCTCAAAATGCCTCAGGCAGACCTCATTTCCTATGGCATGCAAGTTTTTTTTTTTTCCCAGATGGTCAATTGTATACATTCAAACAGCTTGCTCCAGGCTGAATCAGCCAAATACAGTACTGGAAAATATTTTGCATATTATACAGCCGTTAGTTTCGATCCTCGCTTTTGAGGCCAAGCTTGTGTGTGTTCAGCATTCTGAGTTTTAAATTAAAATGCAGTAGACATGAGCTGTAACACCAGTGAAATACATCTGAACTGGCTTTAGTTAGTGCATTATTAGTGCTTGCATTAGTGCTCATGTTGGTGCTCCAAAAAGCAAGGCCTCTGACAGTAAAGTTTCATAGCTACATATGAGATTACCTAATTCCTACTTCCCTGTACAACAAGGGTAGAAACACACACAAACACACACAGCCCTGTTCCTTGTACAAACAAGTACATTGGTACATTGTCTGGTTTAGGCCCATCGTATTCTTCACATTCTGTGGGGTGGTCAGTTCACAGCATATAGAAATGAACAGAGGTGGAAAAAATGCATTCACACTGCAATTACAATCACAGAAATAATGCCATGACGTGTTTTAAAAATAAACTGAATATGAAATGAAATGCATGTTAAAATATACAATTATTTTAAAATATTAATTTTTTTAATATGAACTAAAACTGCCAGCAAGTCACTGGCTTAATGAGTGAGACAGCAAGTTGTTCATTCAGCCAACTGATTCAAACTGCTGATTCAATCAGTAATGAAACAAGTGACTGTCTTCATGGATGGATCATTGATCATTGAAGCAAAAACAGACAATATTTTGTCTAAAAACTCATTTATTAAACTGATGTATACAATCAGTACTACATTTGCTCATGTGATGTTGCTGAATTAGATCATATAAATGCGACCCTGGAGCACAAAACCAGTCATAAGGGTCAATTATTTTTTTAAATTGAGATTTATACATCATGAATAAATAATCTTTCCATTGTTGTATGGTTTGTTAGGATAGGACAATATTTGGCACCCCCCACCCCCCACTGAACGTGATTGGCCCCCCGGTGCTCTCCCAACACCATTGGGCGAGAGCACTGTTAATCTGACAATGCCTAATGCCACTGGATCAGAGCGTTGTCCATCACTGCCTGATTCGCTCAACAGCACTGGATCAGAGCGCTATCATTGCTTTGGCGATGTAAAGCCTTTTTATCATGCCAGTAAAGCTACTGGAATCTGAATCTGTCAATCACTGACAGCGATGTGGAGTTTTTCAAACGACTTGACCACAGACCACATCTCTGTTCATATGGTACGTAAACACTCAGTAATATATTTTGGAATATCACCCTAGTCAATATTTATTCAATATTTATATCTACTTTCATGTGACTGATCAAGTTATTATATGTAGCTAGTATGAGTAACAAAATGCATTCCCTGTGTCCAGATTTGACC